CCCCAAAACCCCAAAACCCCAAAACCCCAAAACCCCATGTATATAAATTCAGTTTGAAATATTATTATAGAAGATTTTAGAAAGCAACAGGTGAGCTGCCATTTTGTTTATCCAAAATTTTCAAATTCATCTTCACTGGTTTTAAAATTTACCATATTTATAATATTAACCCCAAGAGCCAATAAATAATTTCAAATCTTGCAAACCATACAGTCTGTACACCAAAACCCATATTTATCAACCCATACGAAATCTTCCAAAAGCCCAAAATCCTCGTCAAATTCCCTTCAAAATTCCTCAAAACTCTTTAAAATTCCTCGAATCCTCTCTTATCTCCAAATCCCCTAAACCTCCCCCTCAGCCCTCAAAAATCCAGAACTTTCCTCTAAGTTCTTCTTCAAAAGTCCCCTTTTCACAAGAAGATATTCTAAATTTCTTTAGAAAATGGGTCAATTCTGTACGACTGAGCGTAAAATAGATATCGGCGAGAGTAGACTGCCTATGAAAAAGTCAAAGTCTGTGAATAAGGAAAAGGGAAAGCCCTTCGTAATCAAATTTAACAAGAAGGATGATAATAAGATTGTAAAGAGAGTTAATAGTTTGATTGAAAGGGAGAACACTTGGGACCAAGAAAAAGAGCCTAACCCTTCCAGAAAGACACTAAATGGACTGTTGGGTATACACCCTAACTGCAGAAAAGCTCCCTTCTGGGGCAAGGAGGAGGACTCAGACTCGATATCTAGCGATGACAGTGAAGAAAACAAAGGCGAAGACTCTTCTGAACAAAGTGATGGCTATTACTCCAGTGGAGAAAGTGTTAAAAGCGCCGACAGTGACCGAAGTTCTGAAATGACAAGGTCCAATACCCCTCCTAGTACGAAGAAAAGTAAGTGCATGCCATGAATCAAAGATCTTTTTAAATTTAAACAATGTTCTTAAAAACCGCTCAAAGAGTAACCTAAAGTATAGTCGTAGAAAAGACAGAAGAGGTAGAAAATGCGACTATATCTGTTGGGCCCACTGAGGTGATCTATAATGGGCCTGTAGATATAGAAACAGGCAAAATGAATGGAGTCGGTGAGATGTACCTCCCGAACGGAGCTGAGTACAGAGGAGATATAGTCCAAAATATATGTGAAGGACAAGGTAGACTTAAGCTTCCTAGTGGAGGTGTCTATGAAGGAATGTTTCATGACAACAAATTCCATGGTAAAGGCAAGTTCCTGATGAGAGAAGGTGGCTTTTACTTTGGAGATTGGGTCAAAGGTCACAAGCATGGCCAAGGAAAAGAGATAGCTCCAGATGGGAGTAAATATGATGGTAACTTTCTCTTCTATTGATGAAATTATTGCATAACTTATTCATTTATAAATCTTAGGTCAATTCAGACATGGAAAATATGATGGTAAAGGTGAACTTAAGTTCGGAAATGGAATAATTTATGTTGGAGAGTTTAGAGATGGCAAGCTTCATGGTCACGGAACAATCTCGCAACCAGACGGAACTGAGGTGACTGGCATTTTCAAAAATGATGAGATGGTATCCCAAATCAGTCTCAAGAAGAACACTGATGTCAGCTAATAAATTTTCAATAGTTTTAATTTCACTAGGGGTTTTGGGGTTTTGGGGTTTTGGGGTTTTGGGGTTTTGGGG